TGAAGAAAACACATTTGTACATTCATTGCCCTCATCATTCTCAAAACATTTGCTCTCCACCTAAGCCCCTGGCATCAGCTCCTCATATTTTCTCCTCCCTCCCCGCTCCCCCCTCCATCATGAACCCTTGATAATTTATAAATGACTATTTTGCCATATCTTAACTGTCCGACGAACTAGTCTTACGAGGCATTGTTTAGCCTACTGGGCAGGACTAGCAGATGAAAGCCCTGAACCTGAAAGCACAGAGAGCTTCCTGGTTGTCCCCAGCATCTGCTCAGGAGAGTGGGGCGCCCTTGAGATAAGGAAGTTCTGTGTTAGAAACCTTCCCCAGTCCCGCCTTAGCTGTCTCTTCACTGGCACTGTAAAAATAACACAACACTATCAAGTCAATTCTAACGCATAGTCACCTTTTAAGGCCGAGGAGAATTGCACTTGTAGGTTTCCAAGACTTCTAATTTCTACACAAGCAGAAAGCCTCATCTTTCTCCTACAAAGTGTCTGGGGGGTTTGAACCACTGACCTTGTGGTTAGAAGCACTCAATGTATAACCTTTACACTGTATCATTTTAGGCTATAATAATTCTGTAGTTCTAAATGTGAGATTCCCTCTGTATTTCCACTCTTGTTCAGCAAATGATCAAACCTGCAAAAGCAGTGAAGCCAAGTCGGAAAGTAAGGGTGCATATGGACTCCCAAGGGCTGGGCAGCAGTGAGAAACCACGCCTGAATTTGCGGGCAGCAAGTCAGCAGGTGGAAAGCCATGTTGACTGCCTACACTTGTGACTGGCATCTGCCAATCTGCCAGTGTGAAGAGTAGTGTTCTTTTAACTTGTGCGCTCTAACCTAGCTCCAGGTGGGGCGAGTACAGGGAGAGGAAAAACAAGGAGCGGGTGGGGGGTGGAGGAGGATCTAGGGAGAACGCGGGGGAAGGAGGGGAGAAAGGGGAGAGAGAAAAGGGGAAGAGAGACAAGGAGCAGAAAGGGGGGTAGAGAGAAAAGGAGAGGGAGGGAGAGAGGATGAAGAAGTGGGAATGGAAGGATGAGATCAATCTCTCCATTCTGGGAACTCGATTCAATGCTTGTGCTTAGTAGCATTCACTCATCGCTCTGTATTTTATTTTAGTACACACTGAACAAAAATCTTCTGAAGCTCTCCCCTCAAGCAGAGACTGTCGAAAATCTTACATCAGGAAATTAAGACTTCGTCTTACCAGCATTCATATCTTTAAACTTCTGCTTTAGCTCAGTGGGAGTAAGACGATACTGGTCAAGACCATCATTCCAATATATCCGGTCTAGGACTTGAAGATCTCCGCCAATCAACCAATCTCCTTGCTCCATAACCATCTAATGGGAAGAAAGAAGGGGGACATTTTTAAGTAAAACTGAGACCAAGATCAAAATGAGAACACTGATCCCACAGAAACTCAGAGCAGCTACGAACTGACCCTGGGGTCAGTGATAAAGCTGCCTGACTGTGATCCACTGAATTGGCATTAGAAAGGCTGGAGAAGGACAACATATTTTATCATTTCTGTGAAAAACTTGATGAACTATTATATTTGCACATAGTGGGTAAACCAAACCAATGTGGATAAAAATGACTTTTAATTAACAAAAACATCCTTTACATGGTTGTCGTGTATGGATTACCGGAAGAAGTTGTGAAATGAGGCATTTTGGCCAGACGGATTCTATTTTATCGTTGCACCCCTGAAACAGGGTTAAACAAGAGATCCAGACTAGACGAAGCCACCCTGTGGCGTCACATCCCACGGTTCCTCCTCTCCATCTGCTCCACCAGCCAA